CCCGATGCGGGACTCGATCCAGGGACTCCAGGATCATGACCTGAGCCGAAGGCAGTCGCTTAACCAACTGAGCCACCCAGGCGCCCCAATGTGTTTTCAAGTTTACTACAGTATATACAAAGGGACGCATAACTGTTCAAGTCCAAAGTGGTAAATGCTGTTAGAATTTAATTGATCTGACAGGTCTTTTAAAAGAACCACTTCTTGGACCTTCCCCACTCCTCCCCAATTACCAACAACAAATTATATGACAGTTATGGCTTACTTACCTCTCATTTCCCACATGTTCTGGGATTCAAATAGCTCTGATAAGAACAGAAGATAAGAAGGTTTATTTTAAAGCATTCTGTAGACCAGCAAAGGATTTTCAAAAATATTTTGAGAGAATATATTTTATTTTTTTGGCAACAACACGAAAACTTAACCTCAATCTTTGGCTATCTCTAAACCCGGAAGAACACTCCTACTTATGACTGGATTTGCCATTTGAAAATATACATCTTGGTTTTTATACTGGGTCCTTTTCCTATGATTGCTAAAATTCAGAATTATATGAAAAGAAACCACCCTAGAGAGAATTTGAATGGAAATTGTGGAGCTATTCAAGAGCGAATTACAAGAAACAGTAGTTTTGGATAAATTCCAACAACCAATACATAAACCAAAGAAAATAAAACTTAATACATAAACCAAAGAAAATAAAACTTAAGCGATTTTACCATTGAAGAGCCATGAATAGTATGCCAAAACGAACACTGTAGGCAAATTTACTGGGATTTATCTTTATACAATACGTAACCATTTTGCTTAATTTTTCTCTCTGCTAAAATATCCCCGAATTTTTCTACTGAAAGACCCCTGGATAAAAGACTTCCATTCATGATTACAAACCAGCAGTGATTGGCCTGCCTGAGAGGCTGAATTGATGTTATTCATTTTTGTTTGTTGTCTGCAGTGGTACTTCACTGTCCACCATAAAAAGGAGTGAGGAGTTAATCTGAATTTGGCTGATTTATGTAATGATGCATAAGTATCAAAGTTTTGTTTTTACTCTCTAGCATGGATTTTTTTATTCTAGATGGAAAGAGCGGGAACAGGGCAACATATTTGTATACCGAGAGGCCAATCTCCTTTTGAAATGCCCATCACCTGGGGGTTGGGCAGCATCTGAATTGTTCCAGTTGAAGCCTGGAATGGAACTAAGCCTGTCTGTTTCATTGGACATTTTCCCAGCTAGCACCAGGTGTCACCAGTTGTAAAACATGCCCACAACACAACCAGAATTACCCAGGTTATAATCTTAATGGGAGTACATTAAATAATTATATTTTTCTGAAACACGAGCCTTTCCTTAAAAAAAAAAAAAGGAGCAATTTATGAGTCACTCCCTTGCATTTTATAGGACTTTTTTTTTTTTTTTTAAATTTAGGGGAGGGGGAGGGAGAGAGATTAAGCAGACTCCATGCCCAGCCTGGAGCCCCACATGAGGCTCCATCTCAGACCCTGAGATCATGACCTGAGCTAAGATCAAGAGTCAGATGCTTAATTGACTGAGCCACCCAGGCACCTCCCCCTCCCCCCCCCCGCCCACTTTCTTTTCAAGTAGGTTCTACACTGGGCATGGCAGGACTTAAACTCACAGCCCTGATATCAAGACCTGAACTGAGATCAAGAGTCGGATGCTGGGGCCTCTGGGTGGCTCAGTCATTTAAGCGTCTGTCTTTGGCTCAGGTCATGATTCCAAGGTCCTGAGTTCCCTGCTCAGTGGGGGAGTCTGCTTCTCCCTCTGATCCTCCCCCAGCTTGTGCTCACTCGTGCTTTCTATCTCTCTTTCTCTCAAAGAAATCTTTAAAAAAAAAAAAAAAAGAGTTGGGTGCTTAACCAACTCAGCCATCCAGGTGCCCCCACTCCCTGGCATTTTAAATAAAAATCTAATCTTTCAAATGCAACTAAAAGTAATTATTTAATAAATTAATTGGGAGGGAAATTGCTAATTTTTCTATAAGGCAAATAGTCTGTTACTTTATCAAATAAATGCATGAAAACACTTTGAAAACTAAAACATATATGTTTATGATGGAATTTTAAGTAGATTTTCCATAGAGTTGGCTGTCAAAATGGGATAACATTTTAGCACAAATGTGGTTGCTTATTTTATACATATATCCTAAAATATTTTTAAACAAATTCTGAGTTTTAGTTATATTTGTTAGCAACAGTGGGAATAATAGTATTCTCTGGAAAAGTTTCATGTGAAATCTATACTCCTAAGAAAATAAAGACTTGGCTGAGTATTTTATAGGCATAAGAAATGCTTCATGACTATTTGAGTTATGAATTAAAGAGCATGGTGTTTTTTTTTAAGGTTTTATTTATTCGTTTGAGACAGAGACAGAGACAGAGAGCATAAGCAGCGGGAGAGAGAGGGAGAGGGAGAAGCAGACTACCTGCTGCGCTGGGAGCCTGACATGGGGCTCGAACCCAGGACCTGTGATCATGACCCCAGCCAAAGGCAGACACTTAAGCATCTGAGCCACACAGGTTCCCCTAAAGAGTATGTTTTTACTGGGTTTTTAACCACCGGTTTTTGCCTATTTGTTCCTTATTTCTTTAATAACAATTACATTTGTGAGTTATTGATGAATTCTGTAGAAAACAACTTCTTAAAACTGAGAAGAATGGTTTCCATTTGGTAGTCACAAAGATGTTTTAAACTTAATTTTTCCCCTCAAGGAAACTAAAAATGTACGTTAATTTTGGGGACATGTATAAGTATGTGATCAAATTAACAGCAAAGTCATTCATTCTTTGGCATTTGATATTCCTAGCTACTATATACAAGAAACATATTAGAATGAAATCTGACATTACCATGGTGGTCTTTCCTTCATAGGCATTTTGAGGGAGGCTCATTCCCCTCAGTTTGCAAGCATCTGTCAGTGTTAAAGAATATTTTGTCTCTATTTAGATCAGAGCACCCATGATCTGCACAGCCAAGTAATCAAAGAACAGGCCAAGACTTCAAGAGTAATGGAACCTACAATCAGAAGTATTCTAGTGGATTGTGAACAAATAAATCAGAAAGGAAGAATACTAATGGGTTCTTCTCCTAGAAGAGTTATCTTCAGGGTTACTGAGGTCTTCTCAGTAAGCTTTATTACGAAGTTTACTCTCTCCCAGTAAAGAGAAGGGAAACTAGACATAAGGACCTGATTGTGTGAGTTTAACTGGCCAGGCCACAGCAAACCAAAACACCCTTCAGAGCCAGCGCCAGTGCCCTAGGACTTAGCTCTTACGTGGGGAAGAATCTGTGCCTCTCGCAAAGGGTGAGCTGCTAACTTACTTGTATTCTGAGAACATAACAAAAAGGGCATCTATATACAACAGATTGAAAATTTCTATAGATATTTATTTTATAAATAAAGTTTTCTTCCTGCTTAGTGTTATCTATTAACCTCTTATTACTGAGGATAGAGCCGAGAACTAAAAGCCCTATCACTGGGATGTCTGGGTGGCTCAGATGGTTAAGCATCTGCCTTTGGCTTAGGTCATGATCTCAGGGTCCTGGGATC